TAAATTAAACAAAGATAGTCATAACTCATTATATATATCAATACGCAAATAAATATATACTAACTAATTTAAAGAAAACAATCCTAACCATGAACTAAATTAAAATAAATTTAGATTTAAGGACTTAATCGAAAAGATAAAATAATTTCAATTAGAACAAAGATATTTGAAATTTAAATCTAAAAAAAATCTAACAATTAAAGATTAAACTTACAGGTAAAATACTAAATAAGGATTAAGTCAAGAGTAGTTTAACCTAAGTATTTAATTTAAACTAAAGGCTCTAAAATGAAATTAAAAAGAATATAAAATAATGATTTAAAAATAAAACCTAAAAAAACTAAAATGGTAACGAATGTTTCAAAATAAATAAAATAATAAATGAACTTATTTATAATTATCAACCTAATATAAGGACTAATTTAAACCAAAAATATTAACTTTAACATAATGACCAAATTCAATTAAATGTAAAATTAAATCTATAAAATCAGAAATAATCCAATGACCTAAATAAAAAACAAGGCAAAGTTATGGGGATTTAAACCGTGATTTACCCATTAATTGTGAAGAGCACGTGGACATCACTTACACAACAGATTCACAAAGATACATAACGTTTTTTTTATTTTGTCTTATCTCTCTAAAATCACCCAAATCATTTAATATATATATTACTTATACTAAAAAACAAGGACCCGAACATGAATTTACCCATAAACTAGTGAGCAAACATGAAATCACGCTCAAGGTATAAGGACCTTAGCGTGATTACCCCAAAAATTATAACAGTTTAACCTCCTTTTGTTTCGTTTTTGCCTGAGAAAACTAAAACCAAAACCTAAAAATTTTCATCTACACTCACCCTCCTCTCAACTAAAACGGCGACAACCTACAAGACCCTAAACCGACAACGCTCCGACCATCGGGCCTAAAGTCCGGTGCTTCGGTTCACAACCCATACCGGTCAAAGGAAGACCGTCGACGACCTCCCTGCCTGGCGCTCGATCTCCTATGAAGGGTAAACTATTTTCCTCTCTTCTCTTATGATTCCAAAATAGTAAATAAATAAGCAAGTTAGTTACTGGAAAATGAAAGACAAAGATGAAAAAAAAAACCTTCTATTTGCTTGGTATTTTGTTTGAATCTGGAAAATCCCCTATGTACCCTGATCTTACCTTTTACATTATGATTCGACCTTTTTTATAGCCATTTTACATTGATTTTTACATATATAAAAATACCACTAGTTGTGTGCATCAGATATGCACTTATATTTTTAGTGGAATGAAACAATGGATAATGGCATGGTAGGTATGGTGGGGTAAGAGAATTGGGATCTTGGGAGCTTGATGGAGGCATTGTAGTGGTAGGGTATAGTAAAAAAATGATGCTTACAGCTGCCCCTCTTTGCTTATTGCTGTGAAACGGGAATGAAGCAAAGATAATAAAGCATCATTTTTATCTTGGTCTCTTCTTATCACCCTGCGAACTCTTCACTAGGAAATGTCAATTCTTTCCTTTCTATGAAATCGTTGAATCATTGCTGCAAATGATGTCATCTTTGCTTCGTTCTCTTGATTGAGTCTTCATCTTCCGTTCTTAAAGTCGCGGGTTATTTTCTTATCGTGACCTTTCTTCCAAGAATGTTGATCCCTCAAGTGATACGTTGCTGATTCGAAGTGTCATGAATCGAGTGATAGGTTGAACAAGATCTTCTCATTATGAACTTCTTCTCACTCTGTCGGATGAGTTCTTCTCATTATGAACTCTCCATTGGAAATGTCAATCCCTTAAGCGAGGTGTCACTGATTCAAAATGTTGTGAATCGAGTGATAGGTCGAACAAACTTTTCTCATTATGAACTTCTTCTCCCTCTGTCGGATGAGTTCTTCTCATTATGAACTCTCCATTGGAAATGTCAATCCCTCAAGCGAGGTGTCACTGATTCGAAATGTCATGAATCGAGTGATAGGTCGAACAAGCTCTTCTCATTATGAACTTCTTCTCCCTCTGTCGGATGAGTTCTTCTCATTATGAACTCTCCAATGAAAATGTTGATCCACCTCTTTCTGTGATGGAATCGAAAGGAACAAGTTCTTCTCATTATGAACTTTCTCCTTTAGGATGAGTTCTTCTCATTATGAACTCTTATGGAAATGTCAACCCCTCAAGCGAGGCATCACTGATTCAAAATACCGTGATTCGAGTGATAGGTCGAACAAGCTCTTCTTATTATGAACTTTTTCTCCCTCTGTCGGATGAGTTCTTCTCATTATGAACTCTGTACAGGAAATGTTGATATGTTTATCTTCTCTTTGAAAATTTTCAGACCTGTAAAAGATTATCATGTGTTAGTAATAATTGTGTTTGATATACATGAAGGTATTTACCTAAAGGTTCTCGAATCTTTATTGAGATCCATTTCTTTCGATGGTGAAAAATATGGATTGATTCTTTGTTGATGTCGTGAAATAAAATCTTTGTTGGCTTTTTGAATTCCTGTCAGAAATTTAACACTTGATGAAAATTAATAAGAAACTTGTTTTAAGAGAAGCTCTCTCGAGTGAGATAAATTTTATTTTGAAGGAAAATTGTCTCAAGGGTTTTAAGAAAAACTATCTCAAGTGAGATAAATTTTGTTTTAAATGAAAACTGTCTCAAGCGAGACTGTCTCAAGGGAGACTGTCTCAAGCAAGAAGAAGTAGGTTTTAAGAAAAACCATCTCAAGGGAGACAAAACTTTGTTTCAAGAGAAAACTATCTCAAGCGATACGAAGTTGATTTTAAGAAAAACCATTTTAAGGGAGACAAAAATTTGTTTCAAGAGAAATTGTCTCAAAAACTTGTTTCATGAGAAACTGTCTCAAGTGAGACAAAATTCGTTTCAAGGGAAACGTTCTCAAAATTTTGTGTTTCAAGAGAAACGATCTCAAGGGAGACAAAATTTGTTTCAAGGGAAAATGTCTCAAGAGAGACAAAATTTGTTTCAAGGGAAACATTTTCAAAGTTTATGTTTCAAGAGAAACTGTCTCAAGGGAGACAAAATTTTGTTTCAAGGGAGACAAAATTTGTTTCAAGGGAAACTATCTCAAGCGAGATAAAATCTCATGTTTCGAGGAAAACCAATCTTGAGCGAGATAAAATCTTATGTTTCAAGGAAAACAATCTTGAATGAGATAAAATCTTCTGTTTCAAGGAAAAACAATCTTGAGCGTGATAAAATCTTTTGTTTCAAGGAAAAACAATCTTGAATGAGATAAAATCTTATGTTTCAAGGAAAAACAATATTGAGTGAGATAAAATCTTTTGTTTCAAGGAAAAACAATCTTGAATGAAATAAAATCTTCTGTTTCAAGGAAAAACAATCTTGAGTGAGATAAAATCTTTTGTTTCAAGGAAAAACAATCTTGAGTGAGATAAAATCTTATGTTTCAAGGAAAAACAATCTTAAGTGAGATAAAATCTTTTGTTTCAAGGAAAAACAAACTTGAGTCAAATGAAATGTCTTCTTTCAAGTAAAGCAGTCTCAAGTGAGACAAAGTCTGTTTTATGAAAAACAATCTCCAGTGAGATGAATCCTCTGTATTAAATGATACTGTCTCAAGCGAAACAAAATTGTCTGAAAATGTTGAATCTGAAGATGATTTCTCCCTCTTGCTGAGGATGTCTTGTTGTCTTTTACGCTCATTTTTTCCTGAAAATCTGCAAAAATGTAGCTGAATGCAACTATTATGAATGAATGTTTGATGCAAAGATGCAAATTCATGTAGGTGTAATTCATGACTTTTTTATATGCAAATGATGTTCTTATGAATGCAAAAATGTTGATGGAATCTTCATTTAACTTTAAAGTGGCTATCTCAGTCTTCTTCTACTTGATCATTTCTTCCCAAAGTCTACTCAAATATTCATGAAGCAACTCATAATTTCCAACTTGCATTTTTGAAGATCCATCTAATCTTCTTCTCTCTTCTTGTCGTCTTCATTTTCACTCTTCATTTCAAAGAAAAATTTTCTTTCTCAACTTCTTGCTACGATCAGAAATATGACTGTGTTGCCCTATTTTCAGAGACTATACGTATGACTATGCCAAACTCCGTAAAGATCAAAGGGAGAGTTACGTCAATTCTGATTTGACTCTTGAAACTCGACATCGGGAAGACTTATCCAAATTTCATGTCACCACATCTAGTCACACATCAAATGAGGCTCGTTTTTAACAACCCATCTTTCAGCCTTAGTTGATACCACTAGTATCTTGCTGTTAAGATTTTATCACCTCTTTCGTGGAAAGAAATCTTCATCATATCTCACTTCTAACCTTGGGGTTGAAGAAGACAAACTTCATAAATAGAAACACAATATGATCGCAACATTCGTTCAGCACCATAATCACTGGTTCGTAAAGCATTTGACACACATTCATCATTTCCTGTAGCTTCTACTCAGATTTCTCAATCAGTGATGCTCTTTGCATAGTGTTTGGAGCTTTTGTAGGATGTCACTTAAGAACAAAGCTTAGTGAGACCGCAAGTGAGATACTTTAACTGCCAGCATCAAATCACCAGAATAATACAACTTCTTGATGAACAAAGCAATTATGTATAGTTAGCTCCACTGTCACTGATTTATCATTTTCATTCTTCATATCTTTTTATCTCAATGGAAATATTTGCTAAAATCAATGATCTTGATACATGATGATATGGGCCTTCAACATGCCCCAACATTTGCTGATATAAACGTTCAAAATGTATTCAAAATTGTTTCTTGCTGATATGAGCCTTCAAAATGCCCCCACAAGAATCATTTTTTGTCTGAAATGGGCCTTCAAAATGCCCCAACATTATATTTCTGGTTGAAATGGACCTGTAGACACCCGTTTTTGACCGGGCTTAAAAAATATTATAAATATTAATTATATTATTATTATTAATACAAATTACATTATTTATGTAGGCCTAAAGTTCAAGCCCACTATAACAAAAGAATTCTCGGAGCCCAATGCAAGTCCAATAAAAATCCAACAGCCCAAAAATAAAACAGTTTAAGCACAAGAGGTGTTCCCATCCATGTGTATGAGCAGCAACCAATCACGCCAATATCTCAAGCCATCACCACTGTTCGAGTTAATTTGCACAAAGTCAACAATGCACCGAATCAAGGAAAAATTAATTAGCCACCGAAAATTACATCAAAGTCAATACTTGCTCAACAAAATATCACCAAACGCAAAGAAAATCAACATGCAGACAAAATATTCGGTGAAGAAAATATTGATAAAAAAAGGAGGAACACGAGATAAATGGGAGGCCATTCGAAGAAGAAAAAAATAGAGAGGGAACCATTTTGAGCAGAGGGGTCACAAGCAAAAGATCACAAACGCAACAGGAGGCAATTATTCGAGCAGGCAAAAGAAACGAAATACCAAGCAAGAAAAACGCTTTGTGTACGCATGTAAAAAGAGTATATCTTCTGTTATTCGAAGATTAATATAAACACGAAGCTCTCTTTTTTTCAAGGAATCCCAGCAGTGCAAAGCAATTCCATTTCCTGTTATATTATTTTTACTTCATTAAAAAAAAGGTAGGAAGCAAGCATTTTTATAATCAGAACAGAAAATCCATCAAGAGAAACTCATTTCGAAAGCAAAACCAGACCAAAGGAAGAAGTGGGTTTACCTGGGTTATGTTTCGGGTCTTCACTAGAATTTGGGGAGTTCCTAGCATCTCTGTAAGTAAAAGTAGGTTCTTTTATTTCCTTTGTCATTTGTTTAAATTTTAAGAATAACAGTGTGAGGAAGTAAAAAATATTTACCTTTACGTTGAGTCATTGGAGTTTTAGTGGCCGTTTTATGGCAGCGTTAGAATATATAGTTGGAGTTCTTGGTTCTGAGTCTTCACGGTGGCGTTGCTAGTGACGGGGAGAGGGCTTTGTTTCACGGTGGCTTCGATGGAGGTTCATGATCGGAGGATGAATGGATGAGAGGGTGGCGCCGCATAGAGGGAGACGAGTTGAAAAGAATAGCAGATATGTTTGTGTTTAGGTTTAGGTTAAAATCAATTTAGTTTAGGTTATATATTATATATGTAGGGGTAATTACCACTTAGCCAGCGAAACTCAGAGGCATATTTAGGTTTTGGTCTTTCCACCTTAGTAGCATATTTTCATTTTAGTCATTAATAAGGACTGTTTTCGAATTTAACCCTTTTGCATTTGTCATGATTTTTGTTATTTTTCAAATTCCAGTCTTAGTTATAATGTTTAGGGTTATTTGATATCAGGGTCGCTTTAGTTCTCTTTTCAATTCGTTTAGGTCATCAAATCAATGTTCGCATATTTAGAATTTTGTTCCTTTATTTTATGTGAATTCAATTTCAGTCCTAAATGATAATGTATTTAGCTTCTGTTTATTTATATATTTGATTTGGACTTTTACGCACGTTATGTTTTAGTCCTCAGGTTGAGCCTTTTCGATTTTTTTTACTTATGCCTGTATATTTTGCGTGACTTTTAATCTGGTCATGTGTCATGATGATTCTAAGTTGTATGTTATTTTTACAGTTGGCATGTAATTTTGTTAATTGGTATTTTAGTCCCGAAATCCAGTTGTGGTGAATTTTCTTTTGTTTTTACATTTGGTATGTTCATTTCCAGATTTATATTTTAGTTTTATAGGCAGTCTCTGGTTTTGTCTTAATTTTAAGACGATTATGCATTGGAATAGCATGTTGAGCGTTTGTTTACCTTAACATTTTCTTTATTTCATTTATTTACACATAACCTTTTCTTTATTCCATTTATTTACACATGATGTATGTTAATTAATGCTATAGGGATAAAGATTAGTAAGAAATGTAATTTTAGTTGTGTTAGGTATTAGTGCTTTTACATTTATAATTATATATAACTCATTTGGCAACCTACGTTGGACTTTATGTTTTATAATATTTTTTATATAATAATGCAAGCCTATATATATATATATATATTAATTGAATGTTAGTTATTAGCATTTGACTTTTGTTACATTATTATTTGTTTATGAAATTGGATTATTTGGTATTATACAAGTGTCTAGTCGGTGCATATAGGTTTAGGATTAAAGTTGAATTAATTTGCTTGTTAACTTCATGAGCAAACTCAATATTATTACATAATTGGATTAAGGGTAATAGCTTTTTAATTTAAAATTGTTTTAAGTGGGTTGTCTTAACTGATTAGAGATATGCTTTTGACGGTTTTAAATTAAAAGTGTATCCCATTAATGACATCTAAAAATTAATTCTTCACCTTAAAATTTGGGAACGAAAGAAAAAGAAATGTTCGATTAATTAAATTTGTTGAGAAAAGGTCGTTAAAACTCACCTAAAGATCTAGTCTCGATATTTTTAAATAATCGAATATTTTTTATCTTTCTAATGGTTTGATAATTTTAATTTAATTTATTTTGGAGCTTCTGAATATTATAAAACTTGCATTTTTGTTGTTTTAAGGGATCAAAAATTAAATTAAACTCGAATTTATGAAATTCGTTGCAAAGACATTAATTAATCGATTAGGTATCGATTTAGGGCGCTGTGGGGGTGCTAATCCTTTCCCACACGTAATCGACTCCCGAACCCGGATTTTGGTAATGTAGTCGTTTTAATTAAAATTAATTTTTTATTTAAATTGACAAAACATTTTTGGGTGCCCAATCACACCCTAATCAAAGATTGGTGGCGACTCCTCGAACCGTATGTTTTTTTATCATAAAGGAATTTCTAAATTTTTGAAAAAAGAGGTTTTCTAAAATCACATTGTTTTTAAAAAATCAATCAATTAAGAGGAAATTAAAAATGATGCGGTTTTCGAAATCTCGCTCCTTTAAAGAAAAAAAATCGTTTCGACAGCTTGGCGACTCTGCTGGGGACCTTTTTTTAGAGAGTCAGGCCGATAGTCGATTAATTAGTTGTCTTTGCAAATGAAAGTTATAAGTTCGTTTTAATTTGAGTTTTGATCCCTAATTTGTTTTAAATTTTTTACATTTTAATTTGTGATTTGGTTAGCAAATAAATAGTTGTACTAACGTGTGATCTATATGTTTCAGTTTTCTGACCTTCACTTTAGTTTGTTGTGTTTCTTGGATCGAGGCAAAGGATTATGAGTTTCCCCTCACTGTTGCTATAAACCTTCAATATTTAGAGCCTTCTAACTGTGCTCTATCCCGTTAGGTAGGGTGAAAGCTACGCTTACGTGAGAAAAATTATTTTTCTCTTCACGGGCTTTAGCTAGTAACATCTGGGGTACATGCCTTATATTTACAAGCGAAACATTGAGTTTCCTCGCATGGACATAAGGAAATGTATCCTCTCGAATTGAACTTGACCCGTTTAAGCCTATAATGGGTGAGTGTCGAGGGTCTGGCAAGCCCAAGGGGGTACCAGTAAAAGACAATTCGAGAACCCTTTTAGTGATACCAAAACTTTGCCCGTCTTATGCTGAATCTCTGTTCACAAACACGAAGGGGAAACTCATTTTAACCTTTTCCTTGACGTTATTTATTTTTGTAAAAAGTATGAGAACTAGAAAAGTATGCGGTTAGGTTTTATATTTCCGTACAAAGTATGTGAATTAGATACCATGCGGTTAGGATTTTTTGTGAATGACAAAGCATGTGGGTAGATATCATATTGGGTAGGATCTATTAAAGCATGATTGGGTAGCCAGCATGTGAGGGTAGGTTTTATTTGATGTTTACGGTACCTATTATCTTGTTGTTTATCTTATGTGCACTAACCCATTTTTGTTTTGTGTCCATTTTATTATGATTTTATTGCATTTGCATTCTCATGTCATCAAGGGGTGTTAATTCGTAAGTGATTGACTAACAAGAAGGCTGACCATATTGAGGCAAGAAATTCTCCACCATGTAGTCAAAACCGGGAGATCCAGAGATGTTCAAACGATCCATGAAGAAGGGCACCCGATAAGTAAAGAAACCTGAAGCTGATTGGAGAATTCCTTTAAAGGTACAAAGGCCAAGATTCTGACTCAGAAGATAGATATAGTCATACCAAGGACGAGAAGACCCTTCATAAAGATATGATGACCACTTTGCATCGGAGGTAAGAATGAAGATTTCAAGATTCAATTTAAGAGCATCCGACGTCATCAAAGGTGATAAAAAACGCCAACAACTTTGGGGTACAATATTGTATTCCATGAAGAGTACAACTCAAGGAAATGAAGAGATGAAGCATCACATTTATATTTTGACTACATGGTGTGCTTACTGAATTCTTGTCGTCTAAATGAAGGTTGTTCTATAAGTGGTCACTTTCGGAATTAACACCTCGTGCATTTGCATTTGCATTCTTATTTTTGCATTAGCTTATTAATTATTTTGTTATTGTTGCTTTTTGTCATTTTGTTATCCTATTCGTACTAACTTGTTTTTTATGTTGTTTTTCTTTTTATCTGCATTGCATGATCATGACATAATCAAAAGGTGTTGATTTGTGAGTGGTCAGCATAGTAGAAGGTTTTCATGATGGACAAAGGGTTTCGTGATCAAGCAGACTATAACACAGATGAGAAATGACATCCTAAGAAAGCTTCGACAATAGTGGAAAGATCTGCACCCGAAGATCGCATGGCTGAGGAATAGAAAAAAGAGATAAGAGAGATAAAAGAGCAGATGTACAGGATGATGGATAGGATAGATGCTTTGTCTAAAGGAAGAGAGACTTCTATAACAGAGCTCGATAGAAGCAACCTTGAGGTGTCAAATATGCAAGAGACTACTTTAGAGCCTGACGATTCTAGCTAGTATGAGAGGCCACACACAATCATTGTTCGTATCAACAAGATGTTTGGAAACGCTAAAGAAATAGGGGCAACCATAGAAGTCCAGAATGATGAAAAGAAGCCATGCAGTCAGAACTCGTTGGTGTTTGATAGTCTACTCCCTACATTAGGGGCATTAAAACGGGAAATTCCAGTCTAACCCAAGTCGAGAGGTGGTTCTCCTTTTGATTCTATCTCAATATCATATAAGGAGTTGTATGATGCACTGCTAGAAGCCCGAGAAGTGTCCCCACTTTATGTGAAACCTCTGCAGCCTCCGTATCCAAAATGGTATGACGTAAATGTTCGTTGTGAGTATCATGTTGGGGTTCAAGGACATTCCATTGAGAATTGCACCGCCTTTAAACATCAAGTCTAACATCTTTTGGATCATGAAGTTTTGGAGTTCGAAATGAAGAGTCGGCTGGGTTTGGTGACTGATTATCCAATTAAGGTGGAGCCAAAAGTGTTCAAAGGTAAGGGTATCAGTGAGGATATCCAAGAAAAAGATTGTTTGCCAAAGTACGAAGCTCAGAGTCGTCATCTAAGAAAAGAAAATGAAAAATTGAGCGGAGAGATAGAAGCCATGCGAGACGTTTTTCAAAGGATCAGCCAAGCCTTTAAATTTTTCGACATAGGAAATGTCCCAGAGGAGTGGATAACAGGGGTCGCTAAATTGAATAATGATGCTGAACAGTGGAGAAAGAATTGCAAGGTGCATGAAGGCCGAGCGGATAAGTTTTCTTATGATTTACATATTACAGAGAAAAGACGTGATACATCTATCAATGATTTGGGTAGATATCAAGCCAAAAATCAGACACTGAATTTATCCATATCCAATATGGAAATTTCAGTTAAACGCCATAAGCAGGAGGCTGACGCTGAGCTAGAAGCCACTAGAGCCAAGAACAATAAGTTGATGAAGATGGTGGATAATTGTAGTGATCTTATGCAAGAGTTTCATAACCATAATGACTTTCTTACAAGGAAAAATCAACAACAGTGTCTACAACTCCAAGAATCAGCACTCAAGATAGAGAAAATGGACTACGTCATGAAAGAAGCTATGACCCAAGCAAGCAGTATGGCTCACAAATTGGTTGATTTAGCTGGCTTTGCAAGAGAATTGAAGCAGATTGACAACTCAACCCCCGAGCATGAGTGGAAGTTAAAATGGCTTTTGAAGGAGATAGAAAAGC